GAAGCAAATGTTTTCTGCCGAGTCTGGCCTGAACATATTTATTGATTTCCGCTTCCAGTTTCTCTTTTTGCCTTTTGCCTTTCCAGCGCTTCCACAGTTAAAAGTGTAATTAAAAATAGGACTCAAGGCTAGAGCCATTCACTCTGCATAGCTAATATGCGAAACTGCCAGTCTACATTGTTAACATTGAATTATTTAATCTCCACTTAAGCCGTTTGACGTGAAGAGAAAACTGGCAGTAGAAGGTATCATTTAATTTCGAATCCTACTTGAACGGGGTGAACCCTTAAATTGGAAGCTGATATTCACTAGCCATTTAATTTTCTGTAGTGATTTTCCATATATGGTTGATTCGAGTAATTCATTTGTCAAAAGGTGCAAATTTGATGTGACGTGGAGGTAACATTCCTTAAAAGGGTTAAGATTTTAACAAAGGACTTGGATTCTACAAAAAAAGGTAATTTAAGCTACTTATGGCAGCTGGTGTTCAATAGCCATTCGAATCTATCAAGTGATTTAGAATATATGGTTTTTATTGGTAATTAATTGTCAGGAGGTGCAAAGGAGGTGTCATTCCTTGAAGGGGGAGAAGTTAAGAACTTAACAATGGATTGGGTTTCTATTGAAAATGTCCTTTAGGCTAGTTAGCAATGGCAGCTGATGTTTACGAGCCATTTAATTAATCTAGAGTTATTTGAAAGTGTTCGGAGTCATGTGAAAATTTGTAACTATTAGTCCGGTTCTATTGGTCTTATCATAAATAAATATGCCTAATTTATAAAACATTGGCCATTATGGTTTAATAAATTTAAAGCCCATGAACCACTCATTACAAAATCTTCGCTACATCTTGAACATTTCCAGATAATATTTCAGGAATTAGCTTACAAATCGAATTAAATAAGCGACTGAGCAGAGGCAAAAACACAAACAACCAACAACACGACCTACTTGTGCGTTTTTCAACTTGACTGCACCGCAGCAACAAAAACACCAACAATAACACCAACATCAGCAACAACAACAACAACAACAGCACTTGCAAGAACAATAAATTTATGGCTTTTAAAAATGTTTAACTCAAACTTCCCACCCCAACGACCAAAATGTTAGCCATGTTTGCGGTGGCTGCTTTTGCTTTTGTGTCACAGATTTATGGCCGCCAAAAGTGGGGGGAAATGGCTAAGGAAAACTTCACAGTGGCAGCGGCAGCAGCAAATAAACTTTACGATTTTCTAGGTAGTCAAATTGAATAAATGTTAAGACAATTGCCGACTGTACCTGGGGCCAAAGAGTTGACTCCGGTCCATTCGAGAGATCCGTATCCAAAGGATTGCCAGAGGATTTCACCTGACGCCGGGCACGCCCTTCAGCTCCGCTTTGCGGGACCAACAATCAAACATGAGACCCAACTCCAAACTTCCGGCTGACGCAATCCCCCCCCTCCTCTCGCCTTTTGTGCCCCATCAAATGTCGGTGCGAATTTCATTAAAATAAACTTTTTCTACAAAACTCTCGCGCACTCAGCGAGTACATTTTCATTTTATTTGCCGGGGCAAAACGACACCGAGAAAAAAAATATATATCGAAATCACGGCCCGGCACTTTTGGCCCTGCTCCCTGCGACCCCAAAACCCCCCCTCTCCCCATCCAATTGGCTTGGTTTTTATGGTCGTCGGGCGCTTTTTACGGCCACCCGGATCCAGCACCCAGGACCAGTGGCATTTGGCTCATTTCACTCCTGAGCGAGATCTCTCTAATTTGAATACCTGGCTGAGGACGAGAATCTGTTTGGTAATTTATGCCGCCAGTTTCGCCGATAACATTTGCATCGCTCTTTATTGCTTTTAAATGTCTGCCGGCCGCCCCGCGAAAGGCTTTCCCTATTCGCGATTCGCCATAAAAACTAGACATGGGGCAAGAAGGAGCGCATTGAAATTTTGATATACGAATTGTTTTTACTGCCGCAGGCATCGGGAAACTTTTGGCCCAGATTCCGCCCACTTAAGGGCCCGGCGGCAAAAACCCCCCAATTACTTATCAGCGAGCGTAGTCATCCTTTGGCTGAGGAGGAGGAGCGGGATGGAGTGGAGTGCACCTGACCCGCCAGCGGATGATGAACTGGAGGAGGAGGTACGGAGCACTGAGTGCGAGTGCCAAGAGCTAAGTGCCGCTTCCGGTGGTCGCTGGTCCACAAAAAAGCTGCAGGTCCGAGCCATAAATTTACGGGCAAAAAGCTGAAAGACTTACGGTGCAGCCCCCATTACCGAACCTCCGGCTGAAATTTACTCCGAGTGCAGTGAAAGAAACGCATTGTTTGGGGGCTAAGAGCTAAGATGAAAATAAATCTGCATTTCGATGAGAATAAATAACAATGCTATTTGTTTTGATTTCATCCACGGGGAGTTCCGAAAATTCTAAGAAATAAAATAAGGAAAGAAGTGAGGTCCTTAAAGATGGTATCTTATGTATAGTTTGTTATATAACAAAGAATGGTATTCTTTATTATAAATTGGATTTTTTAATGGGAATAGAGCAAGAATTTAATTTTAAATCACTATACTTTTTTGATATAAAAGGTAGCTATTAACTTTTTTGATGGTCCTTTTAAAAATGTAATATATTTTTGCAGAGTGCAGCCTTGTCCCCGCCTCCTACAAAGCGCCGCACCATCGTCGCCAGGGCCCCAGTTATTGTTGCAATTAATAAGGACGTCGCCAGCGGCAAAAAGCGACCGGCGTCTGCCGTGCGTTGCCACTTGGATGGTGGACAGTGGATGGTGGATGGGTGGTGGCCACTCATCAGCGGATGCAGGAGGCTGACCCCTGGACACCCGTAGCCACTTCCTTCGTCATCCTCCTCTGCACAGAGGGAATATTTACTGCCCGAAGGAGAGAGGGACTTGAGGGGCAGGATGAGCAACTGCAGCAGCCGAGTAAAATGTCCTCTGCACATTACATTTGCATTGCAGTTACAAGCATTTCGCATTTATCGCAGCAGCAGCGGCGGCGAAGGCAAAGATGTAGGATCCTCCGGAACCGGGGGGAAATGGAGGCGGAGTCTAACAATGGAGGGGCAGAAATCTCGTCGCCAGCGTCGCTAACAACTCGTAGCATTGCAGCTGCCAGATGTGGTAAGAATAGAGATGTGACGCGGAGTGGGTAGATGGGTGGTGGGGTGGTTGGGTGGTTAGGGAGGTTCAGGAGGTGCAGGAGGTCGAGAGCAACATTTATTGTTTGCAAAGCCTTGTTTATTATTTTACGTGCATTTCTCTTGCCAGCTTCAGCTTCAGCTTCAGATCCAGCTTCAGCCTCGGCAAGGACTCTTTATGATTCACTCGGTCGCTCCTTTTGGTCGAGGACATTTTGTAAATAGCAATGCAGTGGCCCGGCCGCCTGACTTGGCCCAGGATTTGCCCATCCTCCATCCTTCGCAGCCCGCGATTTTATTCACTCGCCGCTGTTTATGTGACCCGGATCATCCAGGCTCCCGGGCTGGTGCACCTCGTCTTGGTCTTGGTTTCGGTCCTGCCTTGGTCCTCGATGCGGTTTCTTTATGTTTTTAATGCCGTGCGCCAAAAGTCCTTTTGTTTGTACACTTGTACTTTATGTACCGAGCGAAATTTATGCGCCGCTAAGTGGATTCGTGGATTCTTGGATTCGCGGATCCGTGGACTTACTGCTTCACCCCTCCAACCGTCTTGGCTCTCCCGCTTCCGGTTCCTGCATTGTTGCCTGCCAAACCGGAAATGCAATCCTCGCCATCCATAAAACTTGTCCAAAAATCTGGCGAGCTCTCCTTTTTTTTTTGTAGCCCAAAACTCTGGGACTCGAGACGAGAGGGCATTACAATTATCCTGCGCGTGTCCGAGTCCTTGACTGCCTCCTTATCCGTCCATTTATTGCGCCATCGAAGTAGAAAAAGAAATTTGAGTTTGGCCCGAAATGAAAGTTGGCCCGTTGGAACACCTCAATGATCATAAAGTCGTGGCAAGTGCAAATCCTCAATTAACACAAGAACAAAACGAAACAACACGGGTCCTTTCGCAAGGACGAAAAGGTGATTTCTGCTGCTAATTGGAAATTGAGGGGAGCGGACGACCGACCGGATGAGATAGACACTGACCCGCCCAAGAAGACCCCAAGCAGCTCGAGAAACGTCACAAATGTTTGTTCTTTTGCAGGAAATTAAGGCGAAATGTAACAATCGAATTAGGCCGAGTTGGGGAGCAAAAGGTCAGGACCCACGTCCCACCACCCACCACCCCCGATACAAACCGATTCGCCACGTTTCGTTGGCATTTAAACGGCCCCCGAAACAAGCATTTGACCTTAGTTGCTTTCGGGGGCCCAAACTTCAAATTGATTTTTCATATTCATTGGCATACGGCTCAGAGCGATGCGATGCGATTGGGTCCAGGAAGAAGACCAGCAATTCTCATAAATTAAACATGCTCCACATAAACTAAAGTGAAAAATGCGAGGGCATCGCAAAAAACAGGGGGGAAACCGAGCATTTAACTGTATATTTGAAATATTTTAAATATAAATTTCAATATTTAACTGCGCCCGCCGACAGGAAACGGTTGCCTGGCCGGCACGGCAGCAACTACGGATACGGAATATGGGAGCGGAAAAGGGAGAAGGGAAAAGTTACCCCGGGGCCAGGAGAGCGGAAATGATCCATCGACCCTCGTGCTGTCGTCCCAAAACGGCTATGGCCCAAAAACCGAACGAAAAAAAAAGGTTTCCTCTGCCGCAGTTCGGTCCAGACCACAAAAACGTTGAAAATATTTGTGTTTCCACTTATTTGCATTAATGCCACGAACCGATTTACTGTCTGTCCATCTGTGGGAGGGCGGTTTTGTGGGCTCACCACCTCCAAACCCCCCAAACAAAAAAACACACAACACAACAGAACATGGGGTCAGGCCAATAAATAAGTGTGACTTTCGTTGGCATCCCGTCTCCCGTCATTTAAACGTCTACCCCCAGCTTGGATCGTGTTTTTTAGATTTTATAAAAAAAAAAGCAGAGCCACACCCTTTTCGAAAATCAAAACACTGGCAATGCATGTGGCCCCTTAGAACTAAACCAAAATTAAGTGTGAACAAACGCGAAATGGCAAATTTGAGACCTTTGAAGACTAGTAATTGGCCCGGCATCTTGGACTCGAGGCACGCGCTCAGGAAGTACTTTGCTCCGCCGGCCAAAAGGACTTCGGTGATGACCGAGGCCCCGCCAAACTTCCTGGGAGCCGAAGCGATGCAGCGACCCTGGATGAACGCAGCCTGGCAGCTGGCCAGTGATCCCTCCGATCTCTCGAAAGTCCACTATCCCAAGAAGATCAAGGGCCTGAAGGAGCGCGAGCGGAAGAGGCTGGAGCGCAAAATCTGGGCCAGGCCGGCGAAAATTGATGTAAGCCAGAGGGCTGCAAGATTGGTAGCTAGAAACACGGAGAAGCCTGAAAGGCAAGGAGAAGCTGGAGCCACCACCGAAGGTCAAAATCGAGCGGAAGAGGGTGAAAGCGAAGGCCAGGGCGCCTACTCCGCTCCTCCGGAAGCGACCCACTCCAACGATCCACCAACCCCAATTTCGAGCCACGCGGCGCAAGAACATCCTCATCGTGGACGCCAAGAGGATGCCAGGTGGCGGAGCGGAGCAGCCTCAGATCAGCTCTCCATTTGGTCGGGAAAGAAACGGACAGCGTCCGCGGCTCAAGATGAGCGGACGGTCGAAGAAAACCTACCATGTGCCGCTGTGCACTCGACCCACCGAGATCATGGGCGTGGGCCTGCCCTACTCCCGCCAGATGCGGATGCGCCAGGAGAAGCTCTGCCAGCAGCCGGAGTACCACGACCAGTACATGCGCATGCTGTTCCAGCAGCAGCGCCACCAGCAGATGTGCCACCAGGAGCAGCTGCAGCAGGACTACGCCCGGCAAAAGGCCGAGGTGTCCCAGCATCCCTACGCCTCCATTCCGAAGGACGCCTCCATGTTCGAGGAGCAGCAGCAGCCCCACTCCGTGTACTCCGTGCCATCCAAGTCGCCGCTCAAGCGTCTGAGGGACGGGAAGCGACTGTGCGGCAACTTTTACTACGACTAGATCAATAAACAGGATCCAGAGGCCAAACAACAAGGGAGCTTTTAGGCAATTAAACCGGAGATAGACATTTAATGTTCTTGAAATACTTTTTAATCACATTTTGCACCTGATTATTTACATTTTTCCGAAATTAGTTAGGTACTCCCAAAATTGCTTATAGTCGAAATTATAAATTGAGCATCGAATCCGATATCTATTTTTTTAATTACTGATATGGGCACAATAAATCAGAAACATTAAACTTTAATGGCACAATTTAATGTTGAGGAGGTAACTACTGAAATATGAGATTTGTGGTAATTTATTTTAATTGCTTAATATTTGAAAACACAAGAGAAATTGCACAGTCAATTTTAAATTAAAATACCTATTCATTAAACTGACTTCCAGGAGGTGTAACAAATTGGTATATCATTTCCTTATTGATTTTCATTAATCACTTGTGCGTAGTTATTTTCATGCTTCAGCTTGCAATCAAGTTCAAGTTGCATCTTTTAGAGCGAAATCCTTGAATTTGTATCCTGCACGCACTTTGCAAACTCACCTGTTTAGCCGTTTTCCATGACCGCTTGCCCTTCAGTGACCTGAGAACTTTCCGGTATTTAATATACTCGCAAGTACTTGCGGGTGGGGCTATGAAGGCTATATGGGTGGCCGGGTGGCTGTGGGTGGTGGCCTCTGCACGCAGATACAATTAAAATCGAAACGAGCCAACAATGCAAACTGGCGAACAAACAGGCAAACACAAGCCAAACAGCGAAACACAGCAATGGAAACGAGCAAATAATGAAGTGGATAAAGTTTGCTGAAACACTGAGTTTTCGAACCGAGTCCCAAATACGAAATTGAACCAGACCGAACAGGAGCTGTGTGGAAAGGGGAGGGGGAGTGGCAGGAGCAGGAGCAGCAGGACGAGCAGAAGCTGGATAGGAATGGCGATGTGGATGTGGAGGGAAACCTATTTTGTGTATAATTCAAGGTATCAAGGCATCGAAAGAGGGTCGAGGAGGGTGAAAGCGTGGCAAAACAACATGGGAAAACTTTTGTAATTACAATAAAATTTTCACAAATAACTTGCAATTGTTTGTGTTGGGCGAAGTTGGGTGGAAACACCGAGAAGGTGGGGGTGGCGGTTAAGGAGGAGAGGGATCCTTGAATCGCAACGAATGTGTTAATTTTGTTGTGTATACCAGTTAGATGCCCGCCCACAATCTACAAGATGCAAAAGTGCCAAGTGCCAAAAGAAAATGAAAAGAAAACACCGCAAAAATGTCTCCTTGAGTTTTATTCCCCCGCCGCCCGTCCCGAAATAAATTAAAATATAATTAAAAAGCAAAAAAAAGAGAGAGCAAACAAAAAGTGAACTGTGAAACGTGGACCGGAATCGAAATCCATCCGCCTGAGAGCTCCTCAGAACCGGAGATTGCGTGCCTGGCCAATCCTGAATCCAAAACCCAGAATTGTATATGGAACATTGTTTGCAAATTAATCTTCGAAAATGTCTGAGCTATGCGGCTGGGAATGGGACTCCGAAGTGGGCCAAGTATTTGGCTCGGATCCTCCTTGTTCCATCTTATTTATGGGCAAAAAGTGGATGGCTCATTTTTCAAACAAATATTTATGCTTCACTTGTACGGTATGCGTGCGAAAATGTTTGCTTTTAATTTTTATAAAAGTGCCGAGTATTTAGACGCTATGTGTGAGGCAGAGAATTATATAGTAAATACGGATTGCATTCTGCAGTTAATCCAGTTACCGACAGGCAAATTGAGTTGTGGAAGTGCAAAGCTTACAGGTACGGCAAAGAGAATTCACAGCAGTGGGCAAATATTGGCAGCAACAATGAGGAAAATCTAGTTAAACCTACCGGCCTCACAGGGAAAGCCCAGCCCCAAAAACCGATGGCAAACAACGTAGGCTGCGGGGGCTCTCAAAGAAAATGGAGGGGCCCATCGGGGTGGGGGAGGCAAATGAAACTGAAGATTACGAATGTCTGCTGTTCGGGGCCCGTTCTCCGAAAATAAGAATAACGCAATACACAAGCAGGAAAAACAAGTGAAGAACACAGGGAGAAAAACATACCCAAAAACATAATATACTCTCTATTTTTCTTAGTTCCTATAAATGTCGAACTATAAAGGGTATCTAACAGATACTATCTATATTATTTCTGTAGAATAATAATAGTTTATTAACAGAATAGGTCACAAATACTCCTCAAAATATTCAAAATCGATCCCAGAATTTAGATAACTTCTAAGCAGTATCCTAGTCAAATGCAGTCAACTTTTCTTAGTGTGGAAAAAAGGAAATGCTTCCGGGATAGGGGAAAGTGAGGTGTATATGCAGACCTCGATTCACGATTGATGTGGCGGATCCTGCCAGCCAACGAGGAAGGCGAGGAGCCGAGAGTATTCGAGCCTTGATGGATGGATGGAGGCTTAGCTTAGAAGCGATGTAGCTTAAGCCCGACGCTCCCAATTGGAGCTTTAGGGGAGGGGGCACATCAGAGCTGGGGGCATATTCAATGCCTTGGGTACATAACTCTCGTTGTCGTTTATTGATTTGTTTTGCCCCCAGCCAGCAGGCGAAAGCGGGTGATACATAGCCCAAAAGGAGAACCGCCGAAGGTGCCGACTAGTAAGGACTCACCCCCCATCCTTCACCCCTCCACTGCATCTGGCGGAGGCGGAAGTACAAGAAGATTCGAGGACCCCGAATGACGTGCAGAAAGATGAGAAGAACGAATTCATCTACGTTTTTTCGGGTCATTCCTTTTTTTCTTTCCTTATGTCTGTTGTTCCTCTCTTTGCTTGATTCAAGGACATCTACTAAATACTTTCATTGCTCTTGGTTTTAGCCAGAATTAAGCTGTGTAAAGACAACTTAAAAATCTCTGTGAGCAGATTATAGCTGCTGAAATCCTCATCGATTTTAAATTTTTTAATATTCACGTCTTCCTTGAATCAATTTTAATTGGAAAAATATCCTTTCTCACATGAGTAGTGTTTCACTCTAAACTCTATTGTTTTAGTTTTAGGTAGGTAGACCAGATGCTTTAGATAGAATGTCGAGAATTGACCAGGAAGAGAATTTTTGTCTTTATAGATTTATGTTTTCCATAAGGAGAAACAAATAAGGGGGAAAAGGGTTAAATTTTAGTCAATATAAGTTTTTTTTACAAAATTTATACCCCAAATAATAACACACTCAGGGAAAAAATCAAGTATTTCTAAAATAATAATTTCTTAAAATAAAATTCTTATTTTAAGAAGGAATATTTTCAAAATGAGAATATTTGTGCTTAATTGGTATTTAAGTCCAAATTGTGCTCACTTTAAGAACTTTCAGTACGAAACGTTATTAAAATTTTAAGTATGAAATCGTTCTTAAATCAAGACTGATTTTGCTTGATTTTAGCACGGTGTTTTTTTCTGAGTGCATACTCAAGTTGGTTTTTACATTTAATATCAAACGTTTAAGAACAATTTGTTTCATAGCTTTGAAAAGGAATATTTCTGACGCGCTTATGCTCTTTGGATTCACATGTTGTTGTTTTCCAACAAACTGGATTGCGTTTCCCTAACAGTAAAAATATTGTTATCAAGATTGTTTTCTTTAAGACTCCTCTCTCGACTGCTTAAGGGATTAGCGCGCACTTAAGGAATTGAAGAGGCAGGAAAATTGGGTAGGATTATTGAATTGCTCAATGGGCTCCCGCGAATTCTCACGAATATTCCGCCGGAATAGATTTAATTTGGGTTTTATTGTGAACCCCTCATTTTCCCCCTGTTCATGCATAATGAGCTGCTCCCCCACTTTTGAGACCTAGACCCGACCCATAATTCTGTAATTTCGAACAAGAAATTCCCTGAAATTCGCATCTTCTGTTGCCAAATAGCATTTACCGGGAAAATTGCAAGGGAAACGATCCCAGGGGACTTTCAGCATTGCGTGTAACAAGTGTTTGGAGGCTCGCATTCCACTCATATGGTTAAAAGCGAGTATATAAGGTGATTCCCGTGCAAATGATATGAAAATTGCTGTCGTAAAGGGCAAGGGGGCGTGCCAGGGGGCTGGTGCACGCGAAGAAAACGCAGATTAAAACTGCGAGTACGTATGATGAAACACATTTGCCCAGACATATTTAGCAATTAGGGAAAAACCCCCAAGGCCCAAACTCAGAAAACAACTCAAATGGCCAACAAACAAAAAAAAAAGCACTCGAGCTGGTAAATTTTCACATGGAGTGTTAAAATGACAGAGCAAAATTCAAATAATTTCTGTCTTTGGGCGGTTCTTTTACAAACCAAACGGATTTGACCAAAAAAAAATTTCCCATTTTTGATTTGCCTGAAACTTTTTTTACGTGTACTATTCGGAAAATAAGAAAACACGTGTATCAGGATTTGGCCGAAGAAAAATAATTTTTTTTTAAAGAATTTTTTTTTAGTTTGCCAAAAAACGTGAATTTTGAAAAAGTACCCTCTCATTGAAAATCTGTATCTCCGGTTGTAGTAATCCGATTGACTTCGTGACTTTTGCATTAATCTACAATCTCTTCTTAAAAAAAAAATGGTTTTAAAAATGAGTTTTTAAATTCTTCAAAATAAAAATTAATTAAGATTAAAAAAAAAATTTTTAACGGGATCCTCACAAAAAAAATTGTTTTTTTTTAGTTTACAAATTATGCCATATCGTTAGTTTCAATCGGTTTTAACAAAAAGGTGGAGCCATGTTTAGTTTTTAAAATATCGAATTTGTTTTAACAAGGCCTCGGCTTTTTTCTATGAAAAAACGTCGCAGCATGTAGATCTACTCTCTCACTCTTATCGGATCCTTATGGAATTCATGTTTTCACATCGTTTACTAGTCCTTTAACAATTTTTAATGATTAAAAGTTAACTTTTAAGTGTTTTGACAATTTCTGAATGACAAAAAGTAAAAAGACATTTTTTAATCTATTAAAAACTTAAAATTATTTAATTAACCGTCCATTTAATAAACAATAATTTTAAAATTTTTGTAATTATTATTTTTCTGTATTATGTAATTTATTAAACATTTTTAAATATTTTTTTTTAATTTTTTAAAAACATTTATTAAATTTTATAATTTTAATTTAACAAACAAAAAAAAAAAGCACTCGAGCTGGTGTTGCATACAACTTCTACGAAATACTGGCTTATACGGTCTGTGTATAACAGTTTCGCTACCTAACTTATAATGATGGTAGATTTCTTACTTATACGAATGGAAGGTGTATAAGCTTTATACCATTTGCGCTGAAGGTAGGAATTTATACTTATACTACAAATGGTATCCTAATCAGTCACTTATACTGGGTTCTTTGTGACTTTGGTTACTTATATTTTCTCATTCAACAGAGCCGCACTTAAATTCAAGAAAAAACTGCTTACTCTTTATGAGACTAGGACTTATACTTATATTTATACCAATATATCGTTGAAGGGAAGCCCGTTTGTTGACTTATAAAACTTGCTTATAAACAATGTTAAAAAGGATATCAATTTAAAGTCTTAAAAATAAGTTGGTTTTATAAATTTTAATGTATTTTAGAAAACCAATTAATTGTATAAGATCGATTAGTTTATTTATTATTTCGAAACATTGGTTTTTTCTTATTTGGAAACATTACTTATACTATTTAGTAGTTTAGTTGCCCACAGCATACAAATTAAAAAGAAAATAAAATTATTTAAAATTGTTTCATTTTAATAAAATTATATTAAATTTAAAAGAATTTATTATTTATTTGCTTATACTAATACTTATACTTTTAAGCATACTTATACTTATACTCCTTGTTCGTGGTTGAATTAGAAGAGGTCTCAGAGTGAACTGAAAACACGATTAGAAGACCGAATGTAACTCGTGGTAAGCCCTTCTCAGCAGACTTCTACATCGTGATTCTGTCTTTTGCGCTCGGTGGCCTACTGGTGCTTATACGACATCCACCCTCGGAAAAGACAGAGTGTCCCAGTATAAGTGAATGGGCATAACCGGCTTGGTTTCGCACGGCGGCAGCAACAACAAGAATCACGCACCATCGGTGGAAACAACAAACAAAGTGCTCGAGTGGAGTGTTTACAGACCGCTCTTATATGATGTATCTGGATATATATAAATCCCTCTCTTTATCACCGGGCTCTCTCTGGGGCTGCACGCTGCCGATGTGGAGATGTATTTCACAGATACTCGTTCTTCACGCGCTCGTCGCGACTCGAGCTTCGAGGTTTTAGTTCGGTTTTAGCTCTGATTCCGTGAGGACGCTCGCCAGGCGCACCGCTCCGCGTTCCGTTCCGTTCCGTTATTTGACTGCCTCGCACGGAGCCTACCGCTCACCCATACTCCTGCAAAAAAAAAACAGCACTCGTGCCGCGATAACAACGCCAAATTATCGAGTCTGCGCCAACATCCAGCGGATGGCAAGTGCGAATCTTAAAGTGGCCAAGTGGAAGTCCTAGACCAGGCCAAAAAGAACCCCCTCCTCCCTGGCTATACCCCGTTTTATTTGCCCCTGATTCCGGCGGTCATGTGAACAGCCGCCACAATGCGGTGCTAACCCATAATCCCATTTTCGACCCCGGTTTCAAATCGCTACTCCTTCGGTTGTGCCAAAAATCAGACAAAAAGTGCTCCGAGTGGTGACCCAAAACAAATGTGTCGCAGTAACAGCTGGAGTGGCAGCAACGGTAACTGCTGCACTTTATAGTGCGACATCGGGCTTTATTTCTTCTAAGCTCCCAGAACAGTCCGCTAATAGCCAACAAAGCGAGCATAACGGCCAGAGAAATGGCTTTGCAGCAGCAGCATCAGCAACACCAGCAACACATCAAGTGGCAGCAACATGCAACAAAGCGACGACGCTGCCGTCAACATTGGATTAAACATCTTCAGCTTCTGGGCCTTCTGGGTGAGTTGACAACCTGACCTGACCGAGACGCAAGATAATGGACAGTGGTCAATGGAGATTGGACAGGGGATATTGGTAATGCAACAGCTGTGGTTCATTAGCAGGCATTGCATGTTGCAGGCTGCATTTGTGTCCCTTTAATGGACGTTGCGGTTTGCTTCGAGAAGGATGCCGATGGGATCCACTCTATTTCCAGCCATTAATATCAGAAGGAGGCTTCCTCAATAAGGCGTGGCATTAAGCCCTGATGACTTGGGTGGGGGTCCCAGAATGGTAGACTAATTAATAATTACACATTATGCAAGGCAGGGCAAGAAGCACCGGACACACGTAGCACAACAGCGCTCCACTTCCGCTGCAATCAAACGCATTATCGACGAACAGGTTGAGGAGTTTCGAATAGACGGGTGCGGAGCTTCTGGCAAACCGGTACTTGTGCCCCATGCACTTGCGGTCTTATCGGGCTTCCGCCCCTCAATCCCAGAGCAGCTTTGCCATAAAAAAAAAAAAAAACAAAGAAAAAAAGACAACCAAACAATCGAATATAATTTACAAAATATTGTGTCGACGCCCACAGTTTGGTTTTTTCGGGTTTTTGGTTCGCTTGGGGAGCAGGTTTGTTGTTGTTGCTTTTTCCCATGCCATGGCTTTGCATGACATTTGTGGGCGTGTGTGGGGTTTGGAGTCGGAATGGAAGCGGATTTACAGAGTACGCCCATCATTAAAAGCCTAATAAACAAGGGATAGCAAATGGAAGACCCAGGCCAATTAGTTGCCGAGCACCTGGCCAAAAGCCCAGCCACGCCCCCCAAGGGAAACGGAGGGAAAAAATCAAACTCGAATCAGAATCAGTAACAAAATCAGAGTCGGAAGTCTATCTAGTTGTAGGCTGTGTATACCCACATATAGCGCTGTTTGGAAAAAGGAAAAGCATGTATTTGTCAGCACAAAATAATCAAGGATCATAATATGTCAACAAACAGACAGGCCAGGCTAAGGCGACCGAAAAAAACAAGCACAAGGACACACGAACGCAGAAAAGTTGCGTCTGTCTGTCAACTGTGCATGTGTGAGTGTCGTGGGGGAGGGGGGGGGGCTGTGTGTGTGTGAGTGAGTCCTGTGTGTACAGAAACGGCATAGAACAGAACAGTTCAGAAATGTATGCCACCAGAGCAGAGCAACTGAAGCAGTAGAAGCAGCAGCAGGAGCTGGAAAAGTGTAGGACAAACACGCCGTAATAGATATACAGCGAGCATGTGTTGGTGCAGTTAGAAAAGCGGGAAAATCGAGGAAATCGGGTAGGGGGAAAAGGGTGCCAGAGCGAGTGCGAGTGCGGAAAAGTCGTCGCGACTTGTCGTTTTTGTCTCTGACAGTTGGCAAATGTAGTGAAGTGCATTGACAATACCACGAACCAAGTACAGCTTGACCAGAGCGCCATCAATGGATGGGCAGAAGGAGGAGGAGCAGAAGGAGCAGTCGATGGCCACCACTTGAGGGGCTGCGCTTCCTTCTGCCTTGGCTGCTGCTCAAAGGGCAGAGTGTTAAGCACACAGGCCACGGGTTCGAGCACATAGATTATCTTGGGCTGCTTGCTATCTCCAGGAAGCATCGCCATATAGCCACATAGCCACAACTGCAAGTGACTTGTGTGCGGCTGTCATTTTCGAGCTGGTTCAAAGTTAATTGCGCTGCCCTCTCCAAAAAAATCCAAAGCGAATCTCTGCCCAGATTGCGGACGCAGGCAGACGTGGGCAGCTGAGCAAAAAAAAAAAAGAACTGGAAAACGCCCATGTTTAGCCCAGACTCGGCTACTTGGCTTAACGAGTCAGGGGCCAGCACAGTCCACCGCAGCCGGACAGTTGATATTTTTCGCCCCAGCAGCACCTTGAGTCCGCTAACCAGTTCAATATTGACTCAGGTCGCCCACACGCCCCTTAAAAAACCACCGACTGAAGCTGAATCTGAAGCTAAAGCCAGGGTCCAAGTCCAAACTGCGGCAGCGTGGGCTAAACGAACTTACGTAATTGTAAATCAAATGTGTTCCCCCCTTCCCCATATCCAGATAATCCCAGCATAGCAAAAAAATATCATCGAAATTTGTCTGCAATCTTAAACGAAATTGAGAGTGCTGAGATACGAAAGAATCAGAGTTATTAATTTGATGCTGCTTTTTTGGTTTGGAGCAATGTCAACGTCGATTTAGATTACATCGCATGAATATTGCAATATGAAGTATTTAAAATTTGAAATATTTACTAGTTCAGGATATTTATTACTATGGTGTAAAATCAAACTGAGCTTATCACTAAAATGTTTTCTTTTTGTGAATTCCTAAAAATTGCAATATGTTCTTCAGTTATTAAAGTTCGGCTAAGCTTATGTTTATCTTTCTTGCAGATTATTTGCTTAGTGAAAATATTAAAAATGTTAAACTCAAGCGAAAATCTGGACTTATCCCAGATATAAGCGGACTTATTAAAATGGTAAAATAATAATTTTGAAAAACTTAGAAAACCATACAAATCCGATATTGTTTTGCTTCTGCTACTGCTCAGTGTGTGTTTGTCCCTCAGTCAGATGCATTTATTTTGGACTCAGACCGAAATAGACATTGCATTGGCCATATTCCGACTGCTTGTTGACAGAAAGATGAGACTAAATTAAAATACAGAGACATGTGTGTGTGGGAGTGCATAAATAAATCGACAGCATGTGGCAAGGTGGAAGGTTGGAGTGCGGGAGTTGGATTTGTCAAATGAAAACAGTCGTAAAAGGCCTGCCTCTTGAAGTCGCCACCGAGAGCGAACTCCCGCTGTGCCGCTGCAACGTAGCATGTGGTAATTGCCCCGGGTCTCGGATTTGTATATATCCATATCTATAATAGTTCGTACCTAGCCAGCGATTTATGGGCCTTCAACACATGTGAGGATAAGATGATGCGACCCCTTGCCATGGTTCATCGAATTTTGATGGAGTTTCGGCTAAGCGAAAATTGGATTTTGTGCACACATCAGTTTAAAGAACAGGGACGAGAGTCGGCGCGCTTTTCTGCTTTTGGCAGATTGAGAATGAATTTCAATTAGTAGGATACCCATATATGTGCGCACAAAGGGGGGTGGAGATGCGGCAGGATATTAGCAATGTGCAGCCTGGCGTGCTTCCTACGCAGAATATTCCCACCGAAGGATGCGGCGGATGGATGGCATAGATGATTGCTCCCCCCCTGGACCATTTCACTCTCTCCATTCCTCCACAGCCGATGACTGACTTTGATGGGTTTGCTCGATATTGATGCGAATTGATTTGGTTAGTCAGCTGTCGGACAGCCGGATGCCCGGCATCTCCTCCTCCGCCCCGCAAACAGACAGTTGAATGAATAAATAAAAATGGCAAATCAAGCAAGATGCCAAATGAGGCTCGTCATAGACAGGAAAATGAGGTTGCAGGCGGGGTCTTGGTCCTCCAAATGGAAATACATTTAATGGCCCTCAGCTAGCTGAGCTCAGTGAAGTAATTGAAAAACCATTTCAAGGTGAGTCCTGGGGGGCCAGACACTAGGCGATGGCGATGGCGATGGCTTCATCATCCAACCGCTCACTGCTAATTTAAATTTATGAATTTTTGGAAAACATCTCAATGCGGGCGCTTTTCAGGCAGCGAAGGCGGCTTCCTTCCACGCACTTTCACTTTTCTTGAGTATTTAATCAAGTGTGAATAATTGCATCATTCTGCTCAAAGGGAGTCGATATCCTTTGTGTTTGTGCGCCGCCAGATACGAGCCCCCCGTCTCTCTGTGTGTGTGTGAAAGGACCTGTTTTCGATATGTGGGCCAAGAAACCACACGCACACCCAACCCAACCACCACCCACCGAACCACTTTCCTCCGAGACGTCGGCTGTGAAATCAAATTCAAAGAGAGCCGGCAGAGTTTTCACTTTATTGTGGCGGCAACTTGCATATTTTAACCTGCTGTTGAAATTGCGATATTGAAAAATGAATATTTTATCAGGCCAGGCGAATATTTATGGATATACTTCTGTGGCCTTCAATCTTTTGCTTAATTGAAGTGGCAGCTGCTGCGCAACTGGAAGTGCAACATCCACGCGGCCTGCAACTTCAGCATCTGCCTAATTTCGCTCATTTTCGAGACGCGTGTCTAACCGGTTGCCCATTAGCTCGTGGCAGCTTTAAGTCCAGATCCAGCAGCTCGGATCGACAGCTGCAAGTGCCAGTGGCACCAGAACTTCTGACTTTTGGTTGAACAATTCCATTGCCGCAGGTTGCAGATCTCTGAATGCACCGCAAAAAAGGTTTAGTTTGATTTGATACCTTTAATAATCTTAAATGCCCTTTTTGCTTTATAGTTTAAGTTCAAAAGTTAAAACAAAATACTATTAAATTGGAGACTACTAATAAAACAAGAAAAAATAGGACAGAATTATATCTCATAAAAAATATAGCTTGATTTCGAAATCATATGATACATCCAATCACAGAATTTAGTTAAATTTACATTTTTCAATTATTTATTTTTTTTACATTTTTTTTGCATAGCAACATGATGCAAAGGCAATAACTCTACTGTTTATTCTCCTTTCATAATATGAAATATCTCACGAATGAAATGATTAAAGCCATATGGGCTTGATCTGATTTTCCCCGAGTGGCTCCCCGGATTCCCGGATCCCCGTTTCCATCTGCAGCGTGTGAACCGCTGGCGGTCGGTCCATGTCCATGTCCATGTCCACTGCACGCTCCAGTAATCCTCCCAGCGGAGAGTCACCTTTGCACACACCTTTGGTTTGGTTTCGTTTAAATGCGAGATGGGCGTCCAGTTGGCCGGTTGACGTGTGGTTCCGCTTCGCCGATTTTTCCTTCTCTCCCTCTCTCTCTCTCGCGTTCCGGAAAATCTGTGACGCGGCATTTGTCCGCTGCTGGGAAAACTTTAACTTTAACTTTAACGACTTCACTCGGTTTAATTGCGACAGAGAAAAATTCGT